ATACATGGGTGAAACAAAGCAGGACACAGTGGTGTTGAGGAAGTGTAGTATAGCATAGTGGCTGCAAGTTCTGGGATGAGATGATCTGAGTTCACTGATACTTGTATTCTTGAACTGTGTATCCTTGGGCAGGTGTTTAACTTAATTTTGTGTTCTGTAAATTGGGGATAGTAATAGTACCTACTCTTAAAATTATTAAGAATTCAGTAAGAAAATGAATCTAAGGTATTTGTCACAGTCTTGTACATTGAGAGAGCTAAGTAAATGATTATTGTTAATATTGGGGGTAGATTTATAGTGGTTAAGATTGCTCAGGAGGGAAATTGAGTGTGATTTGTGGCTCCATCAACCTACTTACTGAATGATCTTGGGCAAATTCTTGAACTTGATCTAAATGTTTTTCCTTTACTGAACTATGGAAGAGAATAATCTTACCTACCTTATTCGGTGTGGTAAGTTTTAAAAGAGATAATGCATTCTAAAGCATATGGTATGGTGGCTGCCTTGTATAAGCCCATAGTACTGGTTTCTTTTGATTATTATGAGTGTAGCAGGAAAGCTGTACTCAATAGGAAAATGCATAGGCTGAGTCTTTAAAGATGGCTGCATGGCAAACTCACAGCCATCTTCATTGAGGACAGTTGTTAGGTACCTACCATGGGGTAGGTAGGTACTATTCTTGAAATATCATTATGAATATATGAAATTTTTGCCTCAAAGAGCTTCTCTCTTCAGGGATAATGGAAGTAGATACTCAGGTCAGTAATCTACTGTGAAAAGGGTTATATTTAAACAGTTGTATATACAGAGTGCTGTGATATCAGAAAAGGGGGTGTTTGAAAATAAATTGTTATTGACTATCTAGTTGTTATTGCTTCCTGTGTGCCTTACTGTGTTAAACTTTTAGTTATGTTATTCCATATAATCTTCCCAAAATTCATTACATAGGTGAAGGAAAGGAGGCTTTATCTATACTAAGATCACACAGCTATTAAGTGGTAGATTGTGAACCTTGATCTCTAACTTCAAAGACTGTGCTCTTAATTTTTGTCATTACTACTTTCCTATTTAATAATAATAATTATTTACTAAGCAGTTATTAAATTCCTGGTACTTTGCTAGATATTTTACACATAGTTATTGCATATATTTATAACAATTATATAAGGTAACATTAAGTTACTGGTTTTTGTTGCCTTACTATTTATTTCCCTTTTGTATTTCAGAAACCAAAATTATCAGTATAAAACAATCCAAAGGGGCCGGCCCGGTGGCGCACTGGATAGTGCGCCGCTTGGGAAGCGCGGCGGCGCTCCCGCCCGAGGGTTCGGATCCCACATACAGACCGGTTCCCGCTCACTGGCTGAGCGAGGCACGGGAGCAACACTGAGGTTTGCGATCCCGTTGCCGGTCCCCGGTCCGGTACGGGGGCAACACTGAGGGTTGCGATCCGTTGCCGGACAC